GGGGGGGGGGGGGGAACTCTCAGGTCCAAGAATCATACTCGCTGTTGCTGGACAGTTAGCAGTCCTGTGGACCAGTCTCTGTACTGGCATTGGTACGACATGAAGGTTGTAGCCTCTTGGCAAGGAGGAGGTTTACAAGCCTGTAACCAAGTCTCCTTGTATCCAAAGGGTTTTCCAGGCTCTCAAGATTACTTTTTCAGCAGTCTAGTCTTTTTGCGGGGTGCAGGGAAGACTCTTTGCTTCATCTTTTTACATTAGCCTTGCCGAAATAATAATAATAATAATAATTTTTAGAATGGTGCATGCTTTGTGCCTTTCATGTATACTCTTATGTTTTGGTAAAGTTGCTACAGCCCATTCTAGGCAAGGCTTTTTAAAAAAATTTGTAAAAGGGAAAAAAAGTAGAAGAAGGACAACTGCTGTTTGCAAGCTGCCCATCTCTGTTGCTGGTTGAGCTACAATGAGTTCGGGGCGGCGGGGGGGGGACGACTATCATGACATTCCAGTGGCTTAGGGCAAATGTCATTAATAGAATCACCAAGCTAATGTGAGGGAAGTGAAAGTTGTGGGGAAGAAACCACACAAAGCCTGGGTATGAGAAGGGCTGTGTGGTATTAGCAAGGTCTGGGCAAGGAGGCTGAGGGCTGAGGGAACTGAGTAGGAAGCAGGCCTTCAGGCCAGATGGATGAAGGGATTGAGACAGGCTAGCTGAGGGGGGAAGAATGATTTTTTTTCTTTTAAAAAATGGGAAAGAGTTAGCCAAAAGGTTCTGAGGACAAAAACACCTGAGAGGTATAGAGCTCTCTAAGAAACAGACCAGCCCTTGTGGGAATCTTGTCAAAATGGCCCGTTTCAGATGGCATCATGAGAGGAAAGGTTTGGTAAAGGCCAGATTTTTTTTAAAAAAAGGTGTTAGCCTAGGAAGGGAGATGAAGAGTTATCGGGCTGTTTTTTTAGTGGAAAATCTGTTGGGCCGAAATTAAAGGGAAGCTAGGATAAAACCTGCAGAAGGCCTAGACAGGAGACAGGCAAGGAGGGCTGGATATGAAGAAATTATCGGTAAGGAGCCCAAAAGTCAGGGGAGCAGTGACAGGATTGAATTTTAATACTGATGAATTTTAATACTGGTATGAACTGATCAGTCTGGGTTCAGGTCCGTGGCTTTACCTTTAGCGATACCATTGCAAAGGAGAGGCTTAGCACGCACAGTGTCCCTCGCTGCAGCTGCACTTTAGAAAAGACATGCTGCAGTTGAAGAGTTCTCTTTCTGCCTGGGCTTCTACTCGGAGCAGAAGCCCTGTCTGGAATGGGATGTGGCACTTCTGTGCATCAGCACTTCAGAATCTTCACTCAGTATTTTACTTTACCATATAAAGCATCACATATATTGGATGGTGCTATGTAAATTATTACCAATAACATTGGGCTGGTTCATAACCAAGCCAAAATCCTAGCTCAGTAGCTGGAGCACAGTTTGCTAGCAGTGTAGTTTTTCTGTGCTGGAAAAATGCAAACCCTACCAGTGCCTTTGTAGATACTTTCCATCAGCATTCAGCAGCTTATTTCATATGTAAGCAAGCTTTCCCCTCTTTCCCCATGTGATTTACATGTCAAAAATGTATTAAAATGTACAGCCTGTTATTGTATGTTTGAAAAATTCACTGGAAAAAAAATACTGAAATGTCATGATTGACATTTGGACTTTACGGGCTGTATGTGAAACAAGTAAAGAGCTAATTTGGGCTGACTCGAAAGAAATGCAAGATTCTATAGTGTGTCCCTGGTGGAAATAAAGGTGCAATGACTGAACTGCCCACAAGATGGCAGTGTATCCCACAGTCAGTAAGAAAGAGAACATCCTGTTAAGGGGCCAGTGAGTAGTTGAAAATTCCTGTTCACTGTTGCCACTGCTTTTAGTGTCAGCAATGGTAACACAAGTTTGCACACTGCAAGAGCTTCGTCCTGACAACAGTAGCTGAGGAGCAAGCCACATGTTTACTGGTGCTTTGAAAGAGGATTGGTGGAAGTAAATGGAAGTTTTTTTAAAAAAAGCAAAGCAAAACAAAACAGGCTTGCCCGCTGAGATGAATGAATGACACGCCTCATTGCTATATAATCTTTCTAAGTCTTTCAATTGACCAAAAATGCCATTCTTTCTCATTGACAAATATTTTTTTCTTTTTATAACTAGCACACGAAGATTTTGCAAAAAATTATTGCTATAAAGACTTAAAAGGGCAGCTGCCTGTGAAAAGGGGAAAGGAAAAAGCCCTTGTCCGGCATTTAGACTGCAGCTTAAATTTGGCACAGTGGGTATGTCTTTATCTTGGAGAAAAGTAGTTTTTACTATGGTTGGAACAAAGGAGCTGTACAGTGGTGCCTCGCGTTGTGGTTAATTCGTTCCAGCGAAATTGCTGTAGAACGAAAACATCGTAAAGCGAAATTAAAAAGCCCATAGAAACGCATTAAAACCCGATTAATGCGTTCCTATGGGCTTGAAACTCACTGTCCAGCGAAGATCCTCCATAGCGTGGCCATTTTCGCTGCCCGTGCAGTGAGGAATCCATCCCAAAAAACAGCGGGCAGCCAGGTTTTGTACCCGGTGGCCATTTTGAAACCACCAATCAGCTGTAGGAAAATCGTCATTTTGCGAGAATCGGTTCCTGAAGCAGGGAACTGATCATCGCAAAGCGAAATTCCCCAATAGGAAACATTGTTTTGCAATCGCTTTTGCAATCACAAAAACTTTGTCGTTATGTGATTTTGTCGTAAAATGGAGCGCTCGTCTTGCGAGGCACCACTGTATCATGATTTTCAGAACCTCAATAGTTTCTAGGCTTCATGGCAGGGAACCCATAGTCACTTAATTCTTACAAATTAAGCCAAAACAAACATGAAATCCAGATATGCTTTGAGACCGTACTGATTCTAGGGTACTCCATCTGACTTAGAACTCCCCAAATAATCCTAGGAATTGTAGTTACTGAGCTGTAACTCTTCACTGCAGACACTGAACTACCGTTTCTGGGTTTCCTAGCAACCCTCCTGTATCCTCCAGGTGTTAACATCCTCTGCTTTCTGGTGGGGCAGTGGAGTGTTGGAGTATAATTCCTGTTATCCCAAATGTTGAGAAGGGCTGCCCGAGAGAGGGAATCTAGGTTGCATTCTTAAAGCCACATTACTAAGGAGAAATGTAGTGGGAGTTATTTCCAAGTAAATATGTGTACAGTTGTGCTCTGAAACAGCTTTATGGAGGCCTTGGATTGCCAGAAACACAATTAAATAGGGGCTAGCTTCATTCGAGCTTGCTCTCCCTGGGGGGGGGGGGCTAACCGACTATTATACTTTGGGCACATTGTAAGAACACAAGACTTGCTGGAAAAGACAATAATGCTGGGAAGAGTAGGGCAGTAGGATAAAAGGAAGGCCAAATAAGAGACGGATTGATTCAATAAAGGAAGCCTCAGCGTTGAGTTTACAAGATTGAGCTGGGCTTCCAATGATGGGACTTTCCAGGGTTTACTCACTCAGAAAGAACTTGACCACGGAACACCACCAGATACTTGCATGGAAATACAGTGGTGCCTCGCTTAGCGAGCGCTTCGCTATGCGATGAATTCGCATAGCGAGGGGGTCTGGGCCATCGCTGGAGCATTCGCTCAGCGATGGCCCCTATGGCGATTTTTCGCTTTGCGATGATCGCTAAGCGATTCGCTTAGCGATTTTCGCAGAACGAAGCGGGGGAGAACAGCTGATCGGCGGTTCCAAAATGGCCGCCGGAAGGTCCGCGCCGCATTTTCGCGCCCCGCCCTCGCTTACCGAGGGCGCGAAAATGGCGGCGCTATGGAGGAACATCGCTTAACAGTGAGTTTTAAAGCCATAGGAACGCATTGAACAAAGTTCAATGCGTTTCTATGGCTTTTTTATTCCCGTTTAGCGATGTTTTCGCATAGCGAAGGTTAATCCGGAACGGATTAACCTCACTATACGAGGCACCACTGTAAGCAATACTGGATTTGGGGTCTGTTTCCTCCAAGGAGAAACATGCAGGACTGTGCTTTAGGTTTACAGTACAGACACTGTCCATGTTTCATTCTTTGTGGCTTGCACCCATACCAACACATTGGTAAAACTGATTCCTATTTATTTTTAATGATTTGCCAGTCAAAGTACTATTTTCCATACGCATGAGGGCATCCATATTGAAAAGATGAACATAGGTAAAGTAAGTGGGGATTTCAGCAGGTCTTGCGTTCCTCACTCTCCATGACAAGCTGTACCCACCGAAGCTGCCTCCTCAAATCCTGCCCTAAGTATCCCATCTATACCATGCAAACTACACACACTGGATGCTAATTTCTTCTGCTAAAATGCTGAATTTGAACAACTGTACATATCCTTGATCTTTACCATAGTTTTCTTGCAAATGTATTGAATAAAATGATGTATCTGGGTCAGCCAAGAAGGAAGATGAAAATGACAAAAGATCAGTATTACCATTAAGGCTACTTTTAAATTTCCCAGGAGCATGTGACTGGTCAATACTGGAAACTCAATGCTTTGCTAGAGGGAGACAAGAAGGGCTGGCTCTACTATTAGGTAGAGCCATGTGTCTCACTTGATACTGGGCATCATGTAGTATTGTTAACTTCTAGAAATGTGGAGGAACTATAAAGGGATTTCTGACCAAGTGATTTGCCTGTGGTAGGGTACTGTCCAACTTGACATGAAGGCAGGAAGGAATATGCTACTCTGCCACAAGTAGCAAATTATCTTGGTGAGGTCTTGGAAACGTAGAGAATGCAAAGAGTGAGGTGGAGATTTGAGTCCCAAACCACTGCTTTTCTACAAAACAAAAACAGTCACTTGGTCCGAG